AGAGGCAGAGGCTGAGGGGTTCTGATTTTCTCTTCTGTCTCTGGGTCCTGGTACTCAATAGACCATTGAATGCTTTCCAACTGGAATAAGACTTGTCAAGAGCACTACACAAGTGGCATAAAAGCTACAGAGCACCATTCTCAAAGTGCAGCCCCCCCCCCCCACCGACCTGCATCAGAATCACTATAATGCTGGTTAAATACAGATTCCTGGGCCCCAGCACCTCTGGGGACAGAACCCAGGAGTCAGCAATTTAACAACTTGCATGGAGAGAATCACTTGAGTAGGGCACAGGAAGCAATTTCCACTGCCCCTTTTTTATCACATGATGGATTCTTGTTCGTTCTTCCAAGTGAGCTCCAATGTTACCTCCACCATGAAGCCTTCCTAGACTCACCCCAGATAGAATTAATTGCCTCATCCTCTCTGAGCTCACAAGTACACCGTCTTATTCACATTTGTGTCCCCAGCATCTAGCCCAGGAGCACGTAGCAGATGCTCATATTTAAAAATAAAATCCAACCTCCCTCCCCTGGCCTATGAGGCCCTCAATGATCTGATCCTCCCCATTTCTGTGCCTTCGGCACCCTCCTCAGCTCACCTCTCCCTCCTCTGCCCCTCATCCTTAATGCTCCTACCACACTTGAGAAGGCCTTCAGTCTGTCCTTAAACAAGCCAAGTTTCATCCAGCCTCTCAGCCTTTGCTCTCCCTGGTTCCTCTGAGCAAAGCTCTCTTCCTTCAGATCGTCACATGACTGGCTCCTCCCCGCTGGACATTCTGGTTCCAGATCGAATATCACCTTCTCAGAGACACCTTCTCTGCCCTCCCAACCTGAAGAAGCCCCACAGTAACACTTATCTCACCACCTCAATTTAGTTTTGTCATACATTTTTCGTTCTCTGATCATTTCTTTTCTTAAAGATTGGCTCCTGAGCTAACATCTGTTGCCAATCATCATCTTTTTTCTTCTTCTTCTTCTTCTCCCCAAAGCCCCCCAGAACGTAGTTGTATATTCTAGCTGTGAGTGCCTCTGGTTGTGGCATGTGGGATGCCACCTCAGCACGGCCCGATGAGCAGTGCCATGTCCGCGCCCAGGATCCAAACCATCGAGACCCTGGGCCGCTGAAGCAGAGCGCGCGAATTTAACCACTCGGCCACAGGGCCAGCCTCTCTTTTCTTTTTTTTCTAATGTGTTTGTCTGTCTCTCCCCAGGGATCATAAGCTCATGAGATGAGAGATCTTTATCAGTTTAGCTCAGAAATTCTTCCCCAGGGTTGATTTTTACCCCAAGAGGACATTTGACAATGTCTGGAGACATTCTAGGCTGTCACAAACGGGCAGGTGCTACTGGCAGCTAGTGAGTAGATGCCAGGAATGCTGCTAAACATCCTACGATGCACAGGACAAAACAAAGAATTATCTAGCACCAAGTGACAAAAGTGCGACCGTGGAGAAAGCCCCGTCTAGCTCATCCAATGCCCCGGTGCCTAGACCCACGCCTGGCAAATCTTATGCAGCTCAAACATTTTTGCAGCATGAACAAATGAAATGTTCGAATTAAATGTTGGATTCAATTTTAAAATCCAAAAGGTCCTTGGAGAGCAATTAAACTCCAAGTTTGCACATTCTGCTTCTGGAAGCCTCAGGCTATGGGGCAGAGTTTCAGGAATTCTGTACGCCGTGCAGAATTTTCAGCTAAACGCTGAAGATGTAAATTTTGTGACTATGGTCTGTTTTATGTATTTGGGTTCCAATTGTCTGACAAGTTCTACTGCTTAAAAAATTGGGGGAAACCATTGCTCCAGACCAGCCCCTTCATTTCACCAAGCTAGAAGCCAGGACCCAGAGAAGCTGGGGACCCTTCAATAATTCAGGCCTGGGTCTCCGGAGTGCCCAGCTGGGCTTGGTCACAGACTGGCCACAGCTGTGTGATTCGCCAAAGATACATTTAGGCGCAAGACCATGTGATGTAATATTGGGTGGGTTTTCATCCTGGCTCTGCCTCCAACCAGCTGTGTGACCTTGGAAAAGCCACTTAACCTCTCTGAGCTTTAGTTTCCCCTGAGGATCTGTAAAATGGAGATAATACCAGTGCCTACCTTACAGGGTTGTGATGCAGATTAAAAGAGTTAATATGTGAAAAATGTTTGCAACAGTGTCTGGCACATAGTAACTGCTGTATGTAGAGGGAGTGACCAACTCATCGCCCGGGGTTTTCCTGGGTTTAGCGCTGAAAGTCCTGTGTCCCCAAAAACCCCTCAGTCTGAGCAAAGTGGAACAGTGGGTTATCCTAGCTGTACGTGTATGTCTGATTTTTGAAAACCCGTCTATATTAATGTTCAATTTGACTTGATTACCAAGTACTTACCAAGTTCACATACTGAGCGTGAGGAAAGGGTTACTGAGGAATTAGTTACACAGATGGGCTAGCACGGAACATCTTTAGCCTACTCTCTTTCTTTTTTTTTTTCTAGAGCATTCCCCACGCCAGATATGGTCATGCATTAGTGACTTTTCTGCATTGATTTGTGGGAGTGGTATTTCTTGCGTAGTAATTTTTTTTTACATTTTAATGTTACTCCTGTCTCTTTCCAGGTTTATTGAGCTATAACTGACACACAGCAGTGGATAAGTTTAAAGTGTCCCGCCTCATGATTTGACCTAACCTGCTTTCTAGCAATGAAGTAAATGATGCTGTTGGTCATGTTCTATCGACTCACGCAAGGAGGCCCACAGCACCGCTACTTGGAAAACACTTTTACAGCCGCTGGTTGGTTCCTGGATCTCCTCAAACAAGAGAACTCTGTTTCTGTTTTCAAAAAGTCTACATTTCCAACCATTCCCCACGTCAGACTGAATTTTCCCTGGTAAACAGAATCTTAGAACCGGAAAAAAGTTTAGGAAATATGCAGTCCAACGACGCCATCTCCCAGACAGGAAAACCGAGTCCAGAGAATCCTGCTCGCTTTTCTGAGGTCACAGAGTAGAAAAGGATGACGCTGGGGCTCAGGCCCAGGGTTCCGGCTCCTGGGCCAGGGGACTCTCAGGGCTACTCAGATCGGGTTCCACACACAGTGGCAGGTTCCACAGAGAAGCGCGTGTCGAGGGAAGCTGTGTCACTGGGCAACCCCACCCCTCCCCGTTCTGTCACTGAAGCTCCACTTTTACTGTTTGTACATTGAGCTCCAGCTTAAGCAGCGTCTGCAAAAGGGTTCATGTGCTGAAAAAATATCTTTTGAAAGCCACTCAATTATAGGATTGACATATTTTCTTCCCCGGAAAATTTGCTCCCATGGAGAAAACTTAACTGTTTCTTCGAACCACCTTTTTCCCTTTTCTGCTGGGAAAAACAGAGGCAGGGGCCCTTTAAAAGCCAGCCGTTAAAAGGAAAGGCTCGTTCACTCGCAGGAATGAGCTGGGTGAGTCAGGGCGTTGCTAACAGCTGGCCCAGATGTATAATCTCATGTCCATCACTCAGAAAAATGTCACTTAGGAAAATGCCGCTGTTTGGCATCACTTGATAGAAGCTTAAAGAATGAGGGCCCAGCAGGGCCCCAAGATGGACAGTCCCCAGGAAGCAGGATGGAGGGCGACAGATTGCAGGGAGACCCTCTAGAACCCAGGCCCAAGGTGTTGGACAGGGTAGGGGGAGCCGCTGGTGAGTTATGCCTCCCCCTACCCCACCCCCCCAATATGATTTTAAGCTGAAACAGACAAGATCCAAAGCCAGGGAAACATCCTGGGTTGACCCCCACAGTGGGAGAAAGACAGGAAGAAATGGCAAAGCAAAGTACGCAGCCTTGTGCCTGGCGATTCTAGGCTCTTCCTCAAGTGGGTCAAGGCTTAAAGGAAGGACAAGGAGGCGTGAGCCGATTCCCCAGAACAGAGAGGTGAAAACTCAGACTTGGTACTCAACAGGCCTGGCTTTGAACCCTGGCTCAGCCACTCACCAGCTGTGCGACCTTGGGAGAGTTACCTCACCTCTCTGAGTGCCCTTTCCTCGTTGGTAAAATGTAGATTATAACGGTACCTACCTTATAGGGCCAGTAGGATTAGGAAAGAGGAAGGCTCTGCTCCTTACAATGCTCCCATGCCAAGGAACTAGTTGCAGCTGCTGTTTATTAAGCGCCTACTAAGCGCCCGTCTGTGGCTGTCAGAGCCTGAGCTCCCCACCACCAGGCTGTTTGGCCTCTGTCTACCGGGGATTCTACTCGGTGCTGAGGGAGTTCAGAGAAGGGCTGTCACCATCGTAATTTGGAGCCCAAATAGATTTGGGTCAGAGGACATCTCAGGAGACTCAGGGTTCACCAGTCTTTGCCATGGGTGACTGTGTTTGGCCAGCTTTCAGCACACAGTAGGGGCTCAAGAAATATTTGTTGAATGAGTGACTCAATGATGGAAGAAATTAATGAAAGCCTGAATGTTGACGAACATCTCCTTCTGGAAGGAAGGAGATCAAAAAAAAATAACAAAAAGCTCAGGAATCCATGAACATAATGTTGAATGAAATAAGCCAGATACAAGAGAAGGTTCTGTGTGACGACATTTGTATAAAGTTCTAGAACAGGCAAGATAAATCTATGGTGACAGGAATCAGAATAGTGGTTACCTGGGGTCTGGAAGGAACGGACAGAGCTGTTCCCTGTCTACTCAATATCTGTTCCCCTCTCCCCTGCAGCTAGTGTAGCCACTTGATAAAGTTCTGGTCAATGAGACGTAAGTGGAACTGTCAGGTGACAGTTGGGGAAACCTTCTTATGAGGACTGGTTCATACTCTTTGCCCTCTTGTCCCCTCCTCTTCCATCCTGCTCTCTGAATACAGATGTGATGGCTGGATCTCTGGCTGTCCTACTGGATCATGAGGACTAGGACCACACTCAGAGGTTAGAAGAGCTGGGAACTAGATTTCTAACTACTCCATGGAGCTGTCACACCAGCCCTGGATCGCTTACCTGCTCACCTCTAGACTTCTTTTATGTGAGAGAAAGAAACGGCTCTCTTGGGTTAGCCACTGTTATTTTGCCATTTTCTGTCACATGAAATTTAACCTCGCTGCCCCACAACCCTCTGAAGTTGGTATTATTACTGTTGTGCAGATGAGGACATGGAGCCACAGATTAAATCCTTGCCCGAGGTCACGTGGCTGGAAATAGGGAGAGCCTGGATGTGAGTCCCATGCTGTGAGGGTTGTGGAGGCCATTCCTTCTCTGGAAGCCACTGGGCACACCTCACTGTTCTCTCATGCCCATTTCCTGGGGTCCCCAGACAGCACAGCCCGCGATCACAGGATTTAGGGAGTCATAATCATAGGCCTGACAGTTGAGCCCCACCCACATGATGTCATTGGCCTGCCCCCACCAGAGACTACGAGAGGTAGAGTCACCTTCTCCTTTTACAGCTGCGAGAATTGAGGCTGCGATTGCTGAATTTACTCTTCCAGCGTCACAGAGCTAGGAAATGGCAGAGTCGAGGTTTGAACGAGGGGCCCCTGCCAGCGAAGCCCACATTCTTAACTCCTCGGCCACACTGCTACCTCAGAAGCCATGTGTTTCGGTTTCTCATCAGATTCCGAGAGCTCCTTTACAGCCCCTGCCAAATGGCTGGCTAGCCTCCACTTACACACCTCCAGTGACAGAGAGCTCATTATCTTACAGGCCTGCAAAAGAGAAGCTTGAGAGGAAGGGTTCTAGTCCCCATCCCAGCCTCTTCTTTCTCCTGCCTGGTCTCAGCCATCCTGTGACTGCCCAGTCTGCACCCTGGAGACTTTTCCCCCGAAGCAGCCTTTCTCCTCCTTGTTTAGTCCCTCAGGCTCAATGGACCAGTATGGGGGTGATATCTTCACAGTGGCTTTTGTTTCTCTTCCTGTTCCTTTGAAGAGGACGCAAGACTGTCATGTTGTCACTTGGCAACAATTCAACAAATGTGAAATGTCCCTACCCTGTGACCCAGCCGTCTCTCTCCTTGTACACACGCCCAAAGAGGGAGAAAGCTCAGAGCAGCACGGTTGGTGACAGCAAAACTTCGGAAACACGAAGTATCCATTGAAAGGTTAGGACATCAGAGTGCGTCCTTCGGGTGGAAGATGCCACAGCAGTTTAAAAGGTTAGGATTGAGGTATTCACCCAAGAGACAGGCGAACACAAGCCCAAATAAAGACTTGTCTGTGAATGTTTACGGCAATGCTATTTGTAATAGCCCCAAACTGAAAACATTCAAATGTCCGTCAACTGGTAAACAGATAAGCAAAATGGAACGCATCTGTGCAATGGAATATTAGCCATATAAAGGATGACGTGAAGCCTACAGCATGGATGAAACTCCAAACAGTTATGCTCATAAAAGAAGTCAGATGCAAAAGACCAAGTATTGTACGATTCCATTTACGAAATGTTCAGAAAAGGCAAACCTATAGAGACAGAAAGTTCCGTGGTTGCCTGGGGCTGAGGGTGAGGGCAGGGACTGACTTGCTAACGGGCAAAAGGACATTGTTGCAGGGGCGGAAATGTTCTAAAACTAGATGGCGGTGATGGTCGCAAAGCTCTATAAATCTATTTAAAATCATTGAACTATATATTCACGGTGGGTGAATTTTATAGTATGTAAATTATACCTCAAACTTTCTTTAAAAAGATGAGGGAGAAATGGGAAAAGGGATAAAACATTAAGTAGAAAAAATAAGATGTCAAACAAAACATACAATTCCCATTTAGGTAAAAAAAAAATAAGTGAAATAAAACCCTCCCGTAGGAACATGAACGTTTATAAACAAACGCAGAGACTCCTGTCTTGAAAGCGCCACCCCACGCCTTTGACAACAGATCCTTCTGGGGAGGAGAGCAGGAATGGAGGGCTGGAGAGGCGGACTTTTACTTTTTAATTTAAAAAAATCAAGCGGGGGGGAAAAAAGAAAGAGAGAAAAGAAGCAATGCAGAGGAGAGAGGCTGGAGGTTGCAATCCATCCTCTGGGACCTTCTTTTACAATCCCGGGCTGACGGAGTGAGGGAGGCGGAGTCGTGGGCAGTAAATTGACGTGTGTAAACTCTGGAAGGACTTAGGAATGATCAGTTCCTTTGCTCTGAAGGTGGAGAAACTGAGGCCCAGGGAGAGACTGAGGCCTGTGCAACCCCACAGCTCCCTGGGCTCAGGCTCAGGCCCAGGCTGAAGTCCAGGCCTCGGACGAAGCTCCCAGCTCTGCCCCCGCACTGCGCTCTGCACAAATTGTTTCGTGTCTCCGGGAAGAGGGAGTTTATAAATTTGGCCACATTTTGGAACAACAGAGCCATAAATGGACATGCCCACAGGAGGCTGGGAGGTACCTGACCTTTGAGGCTGGGGATGGGGAGGGGAAGGGAGGACAGGGCGGCCAGATCCAGCCATGGCTCAGATTCTTGTATTCAGGGCAAAATAAAATTGGAGAAAGGAGCTAGTCCAGAGGGCAGCTGCAGATGAAGCTGGTAAACATGGAGGGCCAGATGGGCCTGGCTCAAATGCCCCCTTTGCCACTGTCTGGCTGGGTAACCTTGGGCAAATACCTTCACCTCTCTGAGCCTTAGTGCTCACCAAACCTGGTGAATGATGGGAACATGTGGAAAGGTTGTGAAAATGCAGATGACCATGCTCCAATTACATCTTACAGAGAATCAAACTCTTCCAGGATGGGGTCTAAGCAACTGTATTCCAGAAGCATCCTGCATCACTAGAGAACTAGAATTCAGGAGTCAATGACATCTAGGTTCTTAAAATAGACTTCTCAACGTCATTATTTTTCTTAGACTCTGTTGCCTCTAGATGAAAATCCAGACTGCTTAGCATGGCATTCAAGGCCTCCATGGCAACAGAGCAGCTTCACCCCCTCCCTTCAGCCCTTCACATCCATCCCTCCATCACTTCAGCAAACAAAGTGGAGTGTCTCCCCTGCAGCCCCACAGAAAACCAGTTCTCTGCCTTCCCTGGAGGTCCGAAGAGGGGATAAATTAAATTCCATGCTCCACAGCTCTCCTTCTCCAAACACATTCACATTCGCATTTCCAAACCTCAGCTCCGGCAGCTCCCTCATGCTGAACCGTTCTCCCCCACCCCACCTGGCTTCTCTTTTGATGGAAAACCCACCTCAAATCCCCTCCTCCATGAAGCTTTCTTGGGTCTCTGCCCCCCAACCCCTACCCTGCAGACTGAATCACTATCTACTTAGGGCTCTATCTTCCAAATGAATGAAGGAATGAATGAGTGGAATTCCTGACTGCTTTGCTTCCTGGCCCTGGCACACACTTTGTAGCCAGTAATACTTGTTGAAATACAATGAAACATAGATTCTCTGAGCCAACTCTAATTTGAATGCAACAACCACTGAAAAACATTCAGTCAGTCAACAAACATCCACTGAGTACCTACTATGCGCCAGGTATGTGTAAACAAACCAGATCATTCCAGATGGGGTGAAATGCAATGAGTGCTATGAGAGGGAACGATTGAGAGGTGCTGTTTCATAGAGAGTGGTCAGGACGCCCCTTGGAGGAGGTGGCCTTTGAGCTGAGACCTGAAGAATGAGAAAGAGCTGGCCTGCAGAGCCCTAACAGGGGTGACCCGATCTGGGTTTGAGAAGAGCTCTCCATCTGCTAGGTGGTGAGTGGAGGTGGGGTGAGGACAGTGGCTTAGAGCCAAGGGACATGATTAGCAGCAGTATGGAGAGGTGGGGCTCAGCCACATGAAGACAGACGCCACAGGGGGGCCTGCTGCTTGGGTGGGACAGCTGACATCCAAACCATAGATTCTTTGATTCTCTGAGCCTTATCTATGTTTGAAACACAAACACACACACATAAATAAAGAAAACAAAACCTCTCAGAGCCTCAGAAGTTAGCTAAAGCCCAAAGGATTGTTTGTTTGTTTTTTAAAAATATATTTTTCCACTAAAGCTTCAGTTTTGTGTTTCAAGTAGCTGGCATCCACCCAAGGGGACATGTTAGCTGGGACCAACAGGCTTCCGTCCCTCTGTCATTGTCCTCTGGATCACAGCTCGTGGCAGCTAAGAGGGTCATTTCCTGTGGCCTCAACAGGGCCGGGAGGGCGGGCGAGGTGTGGGGGCCAGGCCTTCCCACGGATGCAGCTGGGTCAGCCGCACTTCCCGAGAGGACACTGCTGTGGGGGAGGGGGTGGGGCAGGCAAAAGGCAGTCCCCCAGGTCAGGCAAGCAGCTCTGGCCAACAGTTCATTATTAAGTCAGTTATTTGAGGTTTAACAAAACAGTATGGTGAGTTCCCAGGCTATCCCACAAGAAGAGTCTATAGTACTGATACTGGAGAGTCATATGTCTAGGATGAGAGGAACCCAGCCCAAGAGAGGGTCTGGGCTATCTGATTTCACGACTCACCAAATTTGGGTCAGGTGACCTGGGAATGATCCCTTGAGGCAAGGCTGGGCTGTGACTGGAAGACAGAAACCCCCTCCCCCACCGCAGACAAGGGCAGGAGGCCCTGACTCTGGAACAGGGGACTCCAGGCATGGGGCCCACTGAACTCCACGACTATCCAAGCCACACCCCCACCCCCCCAAATTCTGAGTTTCTAGGTTCACCCCCTCCTGGTTACAATCTGGTTTCTTAAATTGATGCTCTGCCCCTAGGGAGAGGGGGGAGGGTGCCAAGGCAGTGTCCAGTCCCTATCCATCAAATTCCTGCCACAAACCCATGCATCTTGCATCAAGATCATGCTCCTTCCTCTCATGCCACTCTACCTTGCTCATTACCTCCAGTCATGCTGGTTTGCTTTGGGTTCCTCCTTCCTGCTTCAGGGCCCTTGTCCATGCTCTTACCTTCACCTGGATCACCAGGCAAAGTGTTCAAGGCACCTTAACCTTTTCCTTTTTAGAGCCAACCCCAACTAACAATAGTGATTTGTGTAGTAATTTGCATGACGTCGTCTTCCTCCAAAGCATCACTGAAGATGTTGCACCACTTGCAATGAGGCCTCCAAGGTCACCTTAGAAAGAGAAGGAGAGAAAAAGGGTAGTGCGTGGGAGGTTTCTTCTGATCCAAGCCTGGTAGAGGCAAACGCCCCTTCTGCTCATATTTCATTGGCTGGAATTAATCATATGATGCCTCCTAACTGCAAGGGAGGCTGGGAAATGTAGTCTAGCTGAGTGTCAAAGAGGAAGACATGGCTGTTTGCGCATACTAGCTGACTCTACCAACAGTGTGGCAACGTGATTTCTCAGCATGAGGAGATGGGAGCCTGGACAGGAAAAGCCCCCACTATTACACTGCCTACGCCCTCCACATCCTCACCCAGGGACGGGGAGACATGTCTCCTGGGCCTGTGTCTGCCTTTTCCTGTGAATGTAAAATCAATTAGTGGTCAGCCCCTAGAGCAGACTCCGCCCATATCCCCGCTGAGAATCGCCTCTACCCACCAAAGCCTGCTTACTGTGAATGGTGTTGTTCTGGCCTCAGGAGCAACTTGGGCCTGCAGGCGGCCGAGCCAGAAGTGCCCCGAGTTGGTGCCCCCAGAAACAGCCCTCAACCAACAAAGGACAGAGATTTGGTGGATAGACACCCCAGCTCCCTCACCCCTTTGTTGGGATGACTAAGGCATGCTCTACACTGTCTCTGAGAGTCCCCTAGCGCGGTTGCACTCTGGGTTCCCACCAAGGTAGCCACCTTGATAATGCTTCCCTCATTGGCCACCTTCCCGTCCCTGTTTCACTTCCCGGTTCCCCTGCAGAGATTCCCCAAATTGCCTCCCAGATACATTATTTGCACTTAAATACTTATCTTAGGGTCTGCTTCTGGGAAGAGTCAAACCAAGGCAGTCCTAAAGAGCAGGGACAATGACCCGTGCTCTTCTCCTCTACCACATCCAGCCTTGTGCTTCTTGGGTGCACGGTCATCCTTTTTGATTACTTTTAGAAACACACGTCACCGTTGGTCATCTTGGCCAGGGCTGCTGCAGACTCACCAAACAGAAGGCCTCACACACTTGAAAATAAGCCTCGGGGGATTTATCTGCTCATCCTGTTTCTTTCCCACACGCAGGAAATGCTGTGCAGGCAGAGCTTCCTGACCCGGGGGGAGGTCGCAGCACTGGGTCAAGGCTCTCCTCCTCACGAGAGGAAACGTTCGAGTGGTTTGAGGGAATAGGGTGCCTTCCTCACTGCCTGGAGAAAGGGAAAGTTCAGAGTTCTGGGTTCTTGTCCTCACTCTGCCACTCGTTTATTTACTTGACACTCTGGGCTGTTCCTTCCCCTCCGCTGGGCCTTAGCTTCCCTCTATGAAGTATAGAGACGGACCAGTTGTGCTTCAGGATATCTTAGAATTGCTGCATCCTGCATGCCCTCAGAACTCAGGTCCAGGCCTGGCACACCGCTTCACTCGTGAAAACTTTTAAGGGACTCGGGAAGTCAAAGCAGACAAATATTTGGGGTATTTTGGAAACCAGTATTAGCAACAATTAAGAAGAGTTAGAGTGGTTTGTCTTATAGATGAAATTTTCCATGGAAAATAATTTTAAATATATATTTCTCAATAAATTGGCACTCACTAGGAAATGTTCTCTTTTCTTTTTCCAGGCTTGCTCCAGTCTCTACACTGCAGCCCAGGCTACCTGGCCAATTGGATCACGTGGCTCTCCTGCTTAAAACTCCTCTGTGCATACCTGGTGCCCAGAAGGGCCTCCCACTGTGCTTTGCACACAGCAAGTGATTGCTTATTGAATTGAATTTGATTTCCAAGCTACAGTCTGGGAAGATCCCCTCAAAAAGCTTGCTAGGATTGTATCTAAAGGACAAGTAAAAAGGCTATGAGTGAAGGCCAGGAAAGTTTACCTTACAGTAAGGTGCTTGGTATGGATATTGTGGTGTTGGTTTTGGTCCTCAGTTGCCCTTTTAGCCTCGTTTCAGATTCTAGATAAGTGAAGTCATTGCATAAGTTACTTCAGTTAAGTGAGACGCTAATGTGCATGCTGATTATATCTGTTAGGGATGCATTAAGCTGCAAGTTGCAGGATACAGTGGCTTAAACCATAGGACGTTTATTGTTTCTATGTCTACAAATATGGATGCAGGCTGTCACAAAGTTGTTCCACAGCTTAGTGATGTTATAAAAGACACAAGTTTTTCCTACTTTTCACTCCTCTATCCTTTTATTTCAGTGCCTCATGGTCCCAAGATGACTGTCACTTCTGTAAGCATCATCCTTGTTCAAAGAGGGTGATACCCCTGAGCTCTCCTCTCATTTCTGATCCTTTTATCAGGAAAGCTTCTAGAAATACCTCAGCCTGCTTTCCTTTATCTCTCATTAGCCAGAACTAGGTCACGTGACCATCTGTATTATCCATTGCTGTGAAACAAATTATCCAAAACTTAGTTGCTGCAATAAGTATTTACTATCTCCCAAGGTTTCTGTGAGTCATGTATCCAGGAATGGCTTAGGTGGTTTTGGATCAGGATCTCTCAGGGGTGATCTAGCCTGAGTCTTAATTTATAAAGGTGACTGTGTGATGACATGGAGGGGTCAATGCCTTTGAAAGAAGTTTAATGTTCCTCTAGAAACAGGAGGCACAGTGTGCCATGTAGGGCCACAGGGGAAAGCACCAGTGTTAGTCAGAGGCAGAAAGGAGCGAGAGAAGGCCAAGGCCATGACCTTTATTGGGGTTTCTGTGGGAAAGGCAAGTCAGGGCAGGGTAAACGCTTAGGACTGGCTAGTTTGAATAATTCCAGTTAGCTCTGGGGTATAGAGGCTATCCCTAGTTGTCCGGTACCTGGCCCTGGGTTGATTATGGCAGAGGAAATATTGGCTTAGTGTGTGAGAGTTAAATATGGAGGTGGTCGGGGGTATGGACTCAGGATTGTTTGGTTTGTATATAAAAGGTAGGCTCACCAACAAGCTGTTTACTGTCTCTAGTATTTGGCTAACCCCGGGAAGGGCAGTCTCTTCCCAGCCACCAAGGCTCCCCAAAGATGTCAAAACATCATAAAATGTAGAAAATAAAAAATATGATTAATACAAGGATCTCTCTGGTTCACGCTACAGTCAAAATGTTGGCCCACACTGCAGCCATCCGAAGGCTTGATTGGGGCTGGAGCCACTTCCAAGGTGGCCCACCCACATCCCTGGCATGTTGGTGCTGCCTATTGGTGAGAAAACTTAGTTCCTCCCACGTGGGCCCCTCCACAGGGCTGTTGAGTGTCCCCACAACATGGCAGCTAATTTCCCCCAGAATGAGTAATGTAAGAGAATAAGGCAGAAGCAACAATGGTTTTTATGACCTAGCCTGGGAAGTCACTCTTTGAAATGAGTCAGTAAGTCCAGCCTACATTCACGGGGAAGGGATGAATTTCCACCTTCTGAAAAGGAGGGTGTTGAAAAATGTGCAGACATATTTTAAAGTCACCAGATCATCCCTGACCGCAAGGGAGTCTGGGAAAGCAAAGGAGGACAGGATTGTCATGACTAGCTTAGACTAATCATGACTCATCCCCTGGGACACAATGCCACCCCAGACAAAAAGCAGAGTGCGGTTAATGAGGAAGGAGAAGGAAGGTTGAGGAGATAGTTGAGAGTGTCCGCCACAAGGATGATGATAAAGATGAAGAACAGCGCTGCCAGATAACTCCATGTCCCCGTATTGCGTGGGACATATTTATACTAAAACATTATTTATTGTTTATCTGAATGTCAGATTTAACTGGGTGTCTTCTATCTTCATTTGCTAAAAATCTAGCCCCTCTCAGTGGGAAATCAGTCTTCAATAATCATGGAAGGAGGCCAGTGAGGGTGTGGGACTTCTTGAGAAGGGGGAGGTAAAGGACCCCTGGGGTTGTCTGGGGGAGGAACAGATGTTTCAAAGCCTATGGTAGGTTCTTTTTGGTGGGGGACAGTGAGGTTGAGGTCTCCTGTGGTCCCAATCACTCTTCTCTGTTCCCACCCCAACTCCACACCCACCACCACCACCACCACCATTGCCATCACCTCCACTCTGATCTCAAAACACAGCCAGGAAGCTCTGGTCAGAAGCATCTCTCTTTCTAACACCCTGAAAAACCAACTCACAAAGCAGAAGTGAGCACTGAGGACAATGCTGCCAAATGCAAGTGAGGGGTGTGGAACTCAGAGCCTCGCTGTGTGACCTCAGGCAAGGCTCTCCCCTCTCTGGGCCTCCCTTTCCTTGGCTGTATAATGAAGGGTTGGTCTAAATCGTCTCTAAGGGCCCTCTTACTTGGCCTACGTGTCTCCTCCCAAAAGGAAAAACTAGAGGGAACAAAAAGACATGGGTGGTTTCTCTCATCCCATCTCCAAGCCAAATTCAGACGAAAATGTCCAGTGTGACATAGATTTCATATAAACAGTTGTACATTAATACTCACAAATACCCCAAAAGGAGTCCCAGATGAGCTATTTTTATCCCTTAAAACACACATACACACACACACTCCAACCCCCATCACCCCCACCCATAAGAGTTTCTCCAGTTGGTTTTTACAAGAAGACAAGTGTTCCAGTTAAGGGTGCTAATTAAACAGCTTTGACTGTGGGCAGGAGGGAGGCTGGCGAAAACCTCCTCTCTGGGCATGATGTCACCGCAATTGTGCATTTCTCATGACCCAAGAATGTGAGTGTGTTTGCACTGCACGTCGAAGCCGGTGATGCAAGCGCAGCCTGGTAAACAGGCCCCAGACAGGCAGGCCCGGCAAGGAGCCGTGGTGCAGAGGCCTGGCGGAGGCCCAGCTTGAGCTTAACTCCTTCCTGGCGGAACTGGCTGGTGGGCCGCTGAGGTTTGGCCAAGGAACCTTCTCCACTCAGCCTGTGCTTCTCTCCCAGGCGGGATCCCTGGTGGTGACAAGCTCTGAATCTGGAGTCACCGAGACCTGTGTTCCCACCCACCTGCAGCATTTGCTTGCTCCAGGGCCTTGGGTAGGTGACTCCCCTGCCCTGAGTCTCAGTTTTCTCATCTGTACAATGGGCAGAGGAATCAGCTCCTCAATC